ACATGATCACACGGAAGCAAAACTCTTATTTACCCAGGAATGCATTAAGTTAATCACAAAGATAGAGAAAAGAAGTGGGAAACAGCTGCACCGTGAATATGCGCCTCCGGGTACAACGCAGTGAAACACACGAGTCCTGCCCAATGAGAAAGAATTACAGGTTCCATAGAAAACCTGGAGAGATAATAACAAATCGCCAAAGAAAAAATAACCGATTTTCGCATGTTCATGATCCTCATTCCTGTTGATCCAGAGACTGAAACAACATGGCCGACCGACGACCACGACCAAATCCTCGCCTAATTGAGCTTGATGTGGACATCATAGTAAAATAGAAGACGGGATATTGCCAGTGGCCAAATCACAGACTCTTGGTTCGCTTACAGGAAAGCAACGAGGGCAGCACCGGCAACCATGAGACCGACAGGGCCGGCGGTGGCAATAGCAGCAGCACCGGTAGAGGAAGCAGTAGCGCTAGCACTAGCATCAGCGCTAGAAGCACTATCACTGGCGCTGGAAGCATTGGCACTGGCACTGGAAGCGTTAGCCTCCGCGCTGGTAGCACTGGCACCTGCGTCGGAAGCACTTGCACCAGCGCTCGAGGCACTAGCATCAGCGCTGGAAGCATTGGACTCCGCGCTGGAAGCTTTAGGAGACAAGCTGGAAGAGCTGGAGGAATCCGCCGCGGCGTCTGAGGAAGTGCTAGTGGAGGTAACAGTGACCTTGGACTCTGTGACGAAGGTAGTGGTACCAGTACCAGTGCTGGTGGTGACAGTGGTCAAAGTGGTCTGAGTGGCTCCGGGGCCGGCGACGGGCGAGGTCAGACCGGCAGGGATGGAGGCGGCGGCCTCCTGTGAGGTCTCGGCAGCGGCCTGGCTGGTGATAACACTGGGTTGGGAAGTGACAACACTAGGTTGGCCGGTCACGACGCCGAGAGAGTTTGTCTGGGTCAGGTAGTCAACAGTCTGTTGAATAGGTTAGCTTATTTCATTCGGACATTGTGATCTGTTTTTTTGTTTCCGCTTACCTCGGTGGTGACACTGCTCTGGGCGTTGGCCAGGGCGATGGCCGAGAGGGTGGTGAAGACGATGGAGAAACGCATTTTGATGGACTAGAGATTATTGGTAGATGAATTAATGTATGCGTAGTGAGTATGGAGAATGTTGAGGGAGAGAAATAAAAGTGATCTTAGACAAAGGCTGGGGGGAGGTGGGATTATAAGGCTGGGGTTGTCCAGGGAAACAAGTCGCATGTTATAGACTGTTTAGTGCACACACATGTTAAACCCTCCAGTCAGCCATCGCCGTCTGAATCTAGCGCAATTTGGGATCTGCAAGGTCTTACAGTTCTATTTATGTCGATCTCTGGGGTCTAAGCTCCCCCACGTTCATTTATTACATGTATGTATTTGAAGGTGAAGTTATGAGAGACATTACCTTTACAATGGTGCTGGCAAGGATAATTAACAGCAAATAACTATGAAATGTGTCTCTCCGTCTCTTGAAATCAAGGTAGAATAATAATAGTTGGAATAGTTGGCAGATTTGACATGGTGGCAATATGCACCAGGCCTAGCTAATTTAGTGTCGGATCACCTGTACGGTAAGTAATCATAACAAACATAGCCTTGGCGATAATAACGACATGTCTCAATCTCAGCTGAATTAATTATTCAGTAGCCTGAAAGCTTACTTGCCATGGAAGTTAGGAGAGACATATCATTGACTGTGTGGACATACGAATCCGGTCAGTTCTTGATTGCGGAGCGAAGCGAAGCAATTATTCTCCCATCTGACTCACTATCCATAGTATACTAAGCATACTGTACTCCGTAGAGTAATTAATATTTTTTGGGGCTTCAAATGGCGCGATTCTATTTTGGAGCTAAGGAGCTCGAACCAGCCTTCTAAGTGAGACATCACTTTATCGAAATAGGTATCCCGAGGTCAGCTCTCTATCTTTTCTTCTACTATACACTTGGCATTATGGTATCACTATATTATCCTTGTATACTGTAAGGATATAACCAGTTTTGAGGTTTGATTTATGGATTCTACCCATGTAGACTAATTATCTCGGCTTTAGGACTTTTGCCAGCCCGCGGACTCTTCAAATCACCAGACTAAGGTGGGTCTTTGAGACAAGTCAGCGGCTCGGTTAAACCCATCCAGTAGGGATCTGTATATTTATATATTTTTTTCTCTTCTGACAGTAACAATAACAGATTCCTGCAATATCAACGGGGACAAAGAGGGTCGGCATATGCTCCCATCGTGCATGGGGTTTAAGCTTGATCCCAGAGCACTGCAGACGGTCTTTATTCTAGCTAGGTGGATAGGTAGTACTATTGACGTGCATATTGTGTGACTAGGTCGTACCATATATCTACAATATAGAAGACAATACGGGTATACCTTGGTCTCGACTTGCCTTCTACTCATCACCAGATGATTCTCTAGTTATACCGGGCCAAGCATCCGACTCTGGAATAAGGTTGCTTTTAGCTACCGTATAGGCGACATCAAACCCCTTGCTTATTGCCCTAGTCACGCCAATATTAGTGGAGGCCATGCTGTCAGTTGATGGCCTAGACTTATGCATCGCCATCCTACAGCGGTGTGGCGCGGGAATGCGAACCGAGTGCGCCAAAAGCGTCAATATCTGGCAATGATCCCACTTACCCAGGTCACAAGCAGCCGGGCAGGCGTACTAGTGGTGGTATGTTTGTGCGACCTCTCGGTCGCCTTTAGAGTACGGAGTATATCACACGAAGATGCGAGTTGCCACCCCTGCATCGCCGGCACATGCCATACGTTATTCTCCAACTTGCCAAGAGCACAAAGCCATTGGTTCCAAATAGGTAGATATCGTAGCCAGCAACAAGCTGAAGATCTTAATTGAAGACTGAACTCCCTCGCCGCAATGCATATTATACAGCTCTCCCCCACTGCAGCACATAATCCACATAATCGGCAACTCAATATTCAACCATCACTCCTTGATCGACACATCCTGACCGCGGACCCAGTCCGCAAACTCCTTTCGCTTGGCCTATGTTATCCAAATGTTAGCTTCGAATATTCCTGGCCCGAAACAATGGTGTCCAGCAACAAATTCATATCTTGAATGAATCCAAATCCAGTAGTTCCAAGGCATGTATCCAAGTAGATCCAAAAACTCACCCGAATATCCCAGAATCCGTAACGCTCCTCCAGACTCAGGTACGGGTTGCGCGCTCCGCCGTTCCGTTCAATCTCGCCCGCCCACTCGCGCCAGCTAATCGGCTTCAACTTCTGCGCGCTCAAGACCAGTCCGATTGAAACAATTAATACCGAAACGAGGGTTTCGATGATGATGTCTTGTGGGAGGGCAGTGGACGTGAGGTTGCTGTAAAGGACAGTATGTTCGTGGGCCGAGTAGCCTCTGCAGAAGGCATTGTTAGCTTTGCTCGAGGAGTGTATATAATTGCTGAGTGGATGGTCGGAGAACGTACGCATGAACTATCAGGACGAGGCCGAAGAAAGTCACCACGCGGGAGAGGAAGCTCATGATGGGTGGTGAGTTTGGTTTTGGGTTGCGGGTTGGAGGTCAGTGGTTGAGCCCGGTCGCTGCGAAGTCTTCTTATATGTGGATAATTCAAAATAACTCCCACTGTATTATTGGTGTTGAGATGAAGCCTGGGGTCACTGGCTGTAGACAGTGTTGTGATGCCGTTTTGATACGTTGGCGTTAGCGTTGGCGGGAGGTTCGTGGAGGCCCGCCTCCAGGTGGTTTACCTAATCAACTTTTTGACTCCAAGGCTGGCTCGGATTTATCACATCTGTTGCATTTTTCATACTGCTATTGAAAATGTTTAATGGATCGGGGTCTTTTCTGGTTAATAAGGAGGTGTATCTCCCTCGCTACCTACATATCCAGTGAATGTTGTATTCATTCCTTGCGATATCAACCCGAAACTAGACCTCGGGACAACCCCATCAAAACGGACATACTGGATTCAATTGATGAAATAAACCGGTGTATTTGGCTGAAGTCCAGGCCTATTCCCTTATATGTTTCCTTTCGGTGAATTCTGCGATGCATGGGCAACACTTACTAGACCAGCCCTGAACGAGGGTAACACTATTCGACTCTGCTGTCCAATCTCTGTGGTTGACAAAGGACTTTGCTTTGTCTCGAACCTCCGTAGGTGGTAGCCATACAAATAGAAAATATGGTTTACAAGAGAGAGGGGAAACACGTAGTTAGACCTTGTAGGTTTTGCCGGTCTGGAACTAGGAATATGAGGATTGAGGCTCTCTGAATTACACGGTCCATGCTATCCACGGTATAGTTAGTTGTCAATAGAATAAGCCGTGAGACAGAACATAAGGAGCATATTCCCCCTGTATCCATCTTCTAGTTTTCTATATGAATCTGCTATGGGGAGTGGGAATATATATCGAGATATCATCTATTACATACCATTTAAATTAGATAGCCAATCATGTCTGTTCAGATGTGCTTTCAAATCACTATAAAGCTTGCCTTTATCAATACAGAAGACATACATACATATGTAGGAGTACTCGTCTTTCTAACGTGGCAGTTGTCCATAAGAAAAGAATGACGAGACAGCGACGTCAAAGAAAAACAAAAGGTTAGTTAATTGACCAAGTTAGGTGAATGTGATCGAGTCCATGAGAATATTGATTGGTTAGAACCTATATAGATTTTGAGGGTTGATTTACGAGACATCGTGTGCATAAAAAGCCGAGCAGTTACCACCCCTGTAAATAGGGATTCTGGGGACTTGATTTGAACAATTACTGTCTGACAATCATACACCTATAAATAGCAAGTTACAATGAAACTGTGAATGGTCATGAATTTTTTGAATTTTTCATCAATGACCGGTCACTATGGACCAGCTTTCTAGTTGGACTAGGTTCGTAAAGGATTCCTCTGACATCACGCATTTCCATCACACAATTCCTGCTTCATAAATGGGCATCGCAAATTTACAGCTTCTGCATGGCAGCGATATCGGTGGACTGGACGTGATCCTCATCCTCCTCAATCTTCTGCTGGAGCTCATCGGTGGAGACCTTATCGTCCTCAACGACAAGGTTGATCTGGAGCTTCTTGATACCGAAGCCGACGGGAACCCACTTGGAGGCACCCCAGACGAGGCCGTCCTGCTCAATGGCGCGGACGTTGGCCTCCATCTCCTCAAGGTTGGTCTCATCATCTGGAAATGTTTGTTAGCAGTTGGACTGGAAGAGACACTTGAGAAATACATACCCCAAGGCTTGACCTCCATGGTGACGATAGACTTGGCGGCGGGCTTGACCTTGCCAGCCTTCTTGGCCTTGTATTCTTCGAGACGCTTGTTGCGCTCAGCAACGACCTCGGGGTCCTCCTCCTCAGAGTCGGAGCCGAAGAGATCTTCATCGTCATCCTCCTCGGGCTTGTCCTTGGGGTTGGAGGGAAGAGTGGTGGTCTCGGGACCGTAGACAGTGAAAGCTGCGTTGGAGTCACCGGGGAGGGTGGGGAATTCGGGCTCGAAAGAGGCGATGTGCTTGTGCCAGCGGGCAACGTTGGGGTACTTGGCAGCATCAGGAGCGGCGGGGAAGGCCTTGAAGGTCACGACATCGGCCTGGCTGGGCGCGTGGCTGATGAACAGAGTCAGCATTGATGTTCACATCAGATGAAACGATTCAAATAATGTAGCATAGTAAAGCAGGATCAGAGGTGCGATTGCTCGCGATTGGTTGTAGTCATCCAGCGGGGTCTTAATCCGCCTCCTAAACACGGACCAATGTTTCTCATCATGAAAGCATAACAGAAAAGGAAAGAGAGGAGAAAAAAGGCAGCGAAAATGGGAGGTTTTCATACCCAACAATGTAGGACCGAGTGGACAGGAAGTGGTCGGCCACTGAGGGGCACAGTCAGTCACCAATTGATTCGAAATAACAAAATCTCAGGGGCGCCTACGAGTCAGGCCGGCATCAGAGACAAAGTCGGTGAAACCCATTGTGAAGAGAGGTGTGTTGGTATCTGGAAGGAGAAGAAAAAAAGGAGAGGAAAATAGATGAAGGAGGGGTTAAAAAGGAAGGGATTTTTTTTGTTACGGAAAATCTCTTACGGAGTCACGGAAAAACGTGAAAGAGCGAAGACTGGTCAGGTGACTTACTTGCGACGGTGCTTACCTACACAAGTCATGTGACTAACCGGTGACTTCAGGACGAAGCTTAGACTAGTCAGGTGACTGACTGGTGACGGAGGTCTGGTTCCTTCCGCCACTCAGCGTTTACTATGTGGATCGTTCGAGAAGCCTCCCGATGGACCTTGGTTATCGGTATTTAAGGTATAACAGTGACATGTCCGATCCTGAACTGCCCTAGGTTTCTTTTTACACTTTTTTTTATTTTGGCAAATCTATAATATACATTATGGCGGCGAGATTATCCCTCAATGCCCGCAGTCGGCTTCTGCGAACGCCTCGCCTATCTTCGACCCGGCTTCTATCCCCAATCCCGAGATCAAGCATACTGCCCTGCACCTCTATCATACCACCAGCCATCAACCATAGCCCTATATCTGTCCGCCACTATGCCAATGGGGGCCGTCCACACCCCCCAGGCGGTACTCACCGCATGGATATGAGCGGCGGAGAGGACGAGAAATCAGCACTAGAAAAGTATGGTGTTGAGCTTACGGAGAAAGCTAAAGCTGGCAAGCTGGATCCAGTCATTGGACGGGATGCCGAGATTCATCGAACCATTCAAATTCTGTCCAGGCGAACTAAGAACAACCCCGTACTGATCGGTTCCGCTGGAACCGGTAAGACCGCCGTTCTCGAAGGGCTGGCTCAGCGTATCGTACAAGGAGATGTCCCCGAGAGCATCAAAAACAAACGGGTTGTCTCATTGGATCTGGGCTCTCTAATTGCAGGAGCCAAGTTCCGGGGTGACTTCGAGGAGCGTCTGAAAGCCGTCCTGAAGGAAGTGGAGGATGCGGAAGGCGGGGTGATCCTCTTCATTGACGAGCTTCACACCTTGCTGGGACTTGGCAAGGCTGAGGGCAGCATTGATGCTAGTAATCTCCTCAAGCCTGCTTTGTCGCGAGGCGAGCTTCAATGCTGTGGTGCCACTACTCTCAATGAATATCGATTGATTGAAAAAGATGTGGCTCTTGCCCGACGGTTCCAGCCTATTCTGGTGAGCGAGCCGTCGGTCGCCTCGACTATTTCCATTCTACGGGGCATCAAGAACAAATACGAAGTACACCATGGTGTCAGAATTACAGATGGCGCTTTAGTAGCTGCAGCCACTTACAGCAATCGCTACATCACCGATCGATTCCTGCCCGACAAAGCGATTGATCTTGTCGATGAAGCTGCATCGGCTCTTCGCTTGCAACAGGAGTCGAAGCCCGACTCAATTCGGGAACTTGAACGTGACATTACTACCATCCAAATTGAGCTTGAGTCTCTTCGCAAGGAAACCGATGTTGCCAGCCGCGAACGGCGAGAGAAGCTTCAAGAAGACCTGAAGACCAAGCAAGCGGAGGCCGGTAAATTGACCGAGGCCTGGGAAGAGGAGAAGGCCGAAATTGATACCATCAAACGCACCAAGGAGAATTTAGAACGCGCTCGGTTTGAACTTGAACAAGCTCAACGCGAAGGAAACTTTGCCAAGGCTGGAGAGTTGAGATACTCTACCATCCCAGAGCTCGAAGCCAAGCTACCCAAAGAAGGCGCTGAACAGGATCCTCATAATCAAACTCTGATTCACGACTCAGTTACTGCAGATGACATTGGAAACGTCGTTTCTCGGACCACGGGCATCCCCGTTAACAAGCTCATGGCTGGAGACGTGGAGAAGCTGATTCATATGGAGGACACTCTCCGAAAATCAGTCCGCGGACAAGATGAAGCGCTTTCTGCTGTGGCAAATGCTGTGCGGATGCAGAGAGCTGGTCTCAGCGGAGAAAATCGCCCTATGGCCTCTTTCATGTTCCTTGGTCCCACCGGTGTTGGAAAGACTGAGCTCTGCAAGAAGATGGCCGAGTTCCTTTTCTCCACGGAAACTGCAGTTTTACGGTTTGACATGAGTGAATTCCAGGAGAAGCACACAATCAGTCGACTCATTGGTTCTCCTGCCGGATATGTCGGATATGATGATGCTGGTCAGCTTACTGAGGCTGTCAGACGGAAGCCTTACGCTGTTCTGCTATTTGATGAATTCGAGAAGGCTCATCGTGATATCTCAGCGCTACTGCTGCAGGTCCTCGATGAGGGCTTCCTGACAGACGCGCAAGGCCACAAGGTTGATTTCCGAAACACCCTGATTGTGTTGACCTCGAATCTTGGAGCTAGTATCCTGGTCGGAGCAGACCCCTTGTACCCAATTAAAGATGACGCCGGTGATGCCGAGCTCCCAGAAAAGGTCAAATCGGCTGTTATGGATGTGGTTCAGAGCGCATACCCACCTGAGTTCATGAACCGAATCGATGAATTCATCATCTTCAGACGCCTGTCCCAGGATGCTCTCCGGGACATCGTCGATATCAGAATCAAAGAGCTTCAGGCTAGACTCGATGACCGCCGTATGACTCTGCAGGTTGACAATGAGACCAAGGACTGGCTGTGCGAGAAAGGCTACGACCCCAAATTTGGTGCCCGGCCTTTGAACCGTCTCATTGCTAAGGAGATTGGAAACCGCTTGGCTGATAAGATCATCCGAGGTGAAATTGTCTCTGGTCAAACTGCCCGAGTTTCTCTTGATGAGTCTAAGTCTGGCCTTGTGGTAACTGCGGAGACCGCGGAAGAATAAATGACAACATGAAATCTAGCGTTCTTATGTGGCACATACAATGTTTTTGCGTCTGCTTTTTTTGCGAATATTTCGATTGCATGTCCGGTCTTCTCTCATATATTATGGCTTTTTACACTAGTCCACTCACTTTGTACAATAATCTAGTTCTAGACAGTTCATATTGATCAAATTGCTTGTTTTATGTAGGCTGTAGGCTCGAGGAACGACCCGTGGACAGGTGACCAGGCCAACTCCCACCGTTTCATCCAAACCCCATCATTTCCCTCTCTCATCCCATCTCTAAGTATCCCAATTCCGTTGGCCACGGGAAAATGCCTTCATTAAAAAGAAAGAGAACACCAGCTTCCCGGCATCCAATTACACCTCGTACATCTGGGCGACGACTGGGCCACAGGGCGGCAGCTAGTCAAGCCTTCAGCATTTCAAGTGGTCCTCCTCGAACCCCTATCATTTCATCAGGAAGTCAATTGCACACACCTTTTCCTACAGATACCAATATCGAAATAGGTGGGTCGGTAAGAGCTACCGATGATGACTTCGATGACCATGTCATTGCTGCCATCGACATGAAGGATCATGGAACTGTGGGGTGCTCATACTACTCAGCCGAAGAAGAAAAGATGTATCTGCTAGGTGACAGTCGGTCGGGGGATATAGAGACAATCGACGCTCGTGGGTTAATTATTTGTTCAAGTCTAGATTAGAAGTGCTAATCAGGCCATCTACAGTGCTTCTCCAGATAAAACCTACAGTGGTCTTGACACCTCCGCGGGTTGATCTTAGTTCCCAGAATCAAGATCAGAACCTTGCACAAGAAGATGGTACATTTCCTTTGCACTGGAACTAATTTGACCCTTTCCAGTGCGGGCAAATGCTGATAATTTCTGTCTAGTTTCTTCTGCCTACCTTCCTTACCAGATAGACATTCGTCCAACTTCGGAGTTCAGCTACTCCAATGCAGAAAGCAAACTTCTTGCTTTAGGGGTTTCATCTGCGCACGAACAGTGCCTCCGGTTTTTCGTGCCCCAAAATGGTCTTGCCGGACCGGAAGAAGTGGACCCAGAAGAGATGGGCTTCACACTCCAAGAAGGAAGACTGCTGCATATCTCAAGTTCCGTTGACATGGATAACCCCGTGACTATTGGTTGCGCGGGAGCCATACTCACTTACCTGCAGCGACGAAGAGCCGCGGCACCTAGCCCCCTCGAAGAAGGGAATGAGTATCGGGTTCGAGCACTGCAGATGTTCAATCTACGGGATACGATGTGGATCAACAGCAATACCTTCACCTCTCTCCAGATTATCCAGTCGGAGTCACACCCGAATATGTTCAATCAGGGACCTGGGAAAAAGTCTGCTTCAGGCAAAGAGGGTCTTTCGGTCTATGGGCTCTTCCAACACTTTGCATACACGCCTCAGGGTAGGGCAAGACTCAAGCAGACATTTTTCCGTCCAAGCGTGAATCTAGATGCGATTCGTGAACGGCACGATTTCATAGGACTATTCTCCCGCCCTGACAATCTTGCTTCATTGGAGAAGATGACCAAAGCATTGAAACACATTAAAAACATCAGACCTATCATGCTCAATCTTCGCAAGGGAATTAGTACTGGCAGTGCTAAGGTTACTGGGTTCAAAACTACCGTTTGGGCTACTCTTCTTGCTGTATGTTTGATTTGCCATCATTCGTCTATGTAGAGTGATAGTTCTTCATTGCGATACTAATGAGGCAACTGACCAGTTTGCGTTCTACGCTATCGACATCAATGATGCACTGCGGGAGACCTCGGGCGCGCACATCCTGACTCTCCGAAGCAAGGTTAATCCCCAATAGGTATCCCAGTCCTTCTTGTACTGACAACTTGCAGGCTCTCAGGGTCTTTGAAGCAGCCCAGCTGTACAGAGTTGGTCGTATGGTTCAAGAAATTGTAAGTTCCCTTTTTAATAGAATTAATAACGCATCTGACTTTTTAGGTCGACATTGATAACTCCGAAGAACAAGGAAGAATGGTGGTGAAGCAAGGAATTGATAGAGAGCTTGACAGAATTAAAGACAGATACGATGGTCTCAACAGCCTTCTCAAGCACGTTGCTCTCGACATTGCCGCAACGATTCCGGCGACTCTCGACGTCGACGTCAATGTCATTTACTTTCCTCAGCTTGGGTTCCATGTTGCCATTCCACTCAATGAGCATGGTGCTGCGGCGTATACTAGTGCTGATGATGAATGGGAATTAATGTTCATCACGGAAAATCGGGCGTATTTCAAAGACTTCCGCATGAGAGAGATGGATGAGAAGTTGGGAGATATATACGGTATTATCTGTGGTAAGCCTGCTAAATTAATGGGAAGCAATGGGGATGAAGAGCTAAAAAACCCCTACCTTGACAGAGAAAGAAATCGAGATTGTATACGACTTAGCGCAGAGGGTTCTTCGATATGAGAATGTGCTCGTCGATGCCTCTGATATTTGTGGAGATATTGATAGGTTAGTCTTTGTGGGACATGATGTGAGGTCCGCTGATACAAATTTCACAGCCTTCTTGCTCTCACACAGGGAGCCAGCTTCTATAATCTGACCAGACCACGAATGGTTGAACAAAATGTGCTCAGAATCAAGGGTGGCCGGTAAGAGCTCTTCAACGATCATCCCTCGACATCCCTGACAGATGATAGGCACATTCTTCAAGAATTGACCGTTCCGTCCTATGTGCCAAATGACACATTGCTGATGGGCGGAAATGAGTCCGAGATCAATGACGCTGTTTCATCCATGGATTCCAATCCCAGCATGTTGCTCTTGACTGGACCGAATTACTCAGGAAAAAGTATCTATATGAAGCAGGTAAGCTGAATTTTGTCTTTGTGAAACACATTTTCTGACCTACTATTAGGTCGCTCTGATTGTCTACCTAGCCCAGATTGGGAGGTATGTTCCTTTCTATTAAGATAGTAATACAAAGGCTAACTGGCACAGCTTTGTCCCTGCAGACAGCGCGGAATTGGGCATTACAGACAAAATCTTGACTAAGATCAATACTCAAGAGAGTGTCTCCAAGGTATCTCAAATCCTTTGTATAAAGTGTCGGATTGGGCAACCTAACATGTCTCAAGGCCGAAAGCACATTTATGAACGATTTGCAGCAAATCTCCCTCTGCCTGAAACAAGTTACGAACCGAAGCTTGCTCATCATCGATGAGTTCGGGACGGGAACTACCGAAAGCAGTCCGTTCCTATCTAGCCATAGCTCTTCGTTCAGACTAATTAACGCGTTTAGATGGCATCGGCCTTGCCTGTGGCATACTCGATTATCTACTGTGCCTCGAGAGGCCCCCTAAAGTCATTGCAGCAACTCATTTTCATGAGATTTTCGAGAACAACTTCCTCGCTTTGCGGCCTCGACTCTATCTTGGCTATATGGAAGTTCAAGTTTGCGAAGAAACCCAGGCAGCCGAGGACCAGATTACATATCTGTATAAGTATGTACAGGAATGCTGGCTCCTGGGTCAATGGTATGTAAATGATGCTTACAGTTCGAACAGTTTTCGTCCGGGGCGAAGTAGCCAAAGCTTTGGTACCATGTACGTCCTGCTTCTTATCATGTCCGCATTCCTTTCAAATTGATTGACTTCAATATTGGTATAGGTGCGCGGCAATGAACGGTATCGACCCATCTGTTATATCTCGCGCAAACGAGTTTACGTCTCTTTCCGCACGAGGGGAGAACATTATTGTGGCCTGTTCGGTTCTATCTTCAGAGGAGATGCAAGACCTAGAAGAAGCGGTACGAGTTATCTTTTCTATAAAAGAAAAATGGAATGTGACTAATAGCCTCAATACAAGAACTCCCTAGTGAGAGATTTTCTGGAGATTGATTTCTCACAAGGTGACTCAGACCATGTCAAGGCCGTCTTCGAAGGCCTGTTCGAGCGAAAGGATTTATTATTATGGGGCCAAGCGCATGGAGGCCAATGATATCACGAATATCCTTACAAAGTACAACATACATTTACGCCCTAGGTCATCATCAATTAGCTGAACCCGCGATGTCGATATATTCCATTAGGAGAATGAAATCCCTGCCCACCTTCACTGCATTCGTAGCAATCGGGGAGATAGTAGCTAGGATCCCTGATGGATCAAGCGCATTATATACGTATAAGAGAAGATGGATTGAGATGAATAAAACGGTTTTTGAAACTTCGGGTAAACCAGAAGATGAGATCGGGGTTATATACACATCGAATGCCTGAAACTGCCCGCAGTGAACGCCATGGAAACATACACACAAGACCGTGAATTTTATGATCAAGCACACATTCACAGCTTAACACTCTTGACCAGGTTTTTCTTGATACCCGTAAGCTCACCACCATATCCACCGCGGCCCTCGCCGCCCTTGTACAGTTGCTTAGTACTGCCAAGCTTCTTCTTCTTTTCCTCGTACTTCTTTCTCTTCTTAACACGCGGGTTACGCGAGTCTTTACTGCGTTTCGCGTGCAGACCCTTGTTCTTCTGGATCTGATACGTGATTGCACGCTTGCCATCCGGACCAACCTCCTCTTGCACAAAGATTTTTCCACCAAGGCGCTCAGCCTCAGCGTAGGCATCTGCACGAGCCTGCTTGTCGTCCTTGCGCTTCTTGGAGCGAGATGCCACCATGTCGTAGTATTCATCGTCATCAGTGCCCTCCTTGGCACCCTCACCGCGGCGGAGCTCCTTGGCGACGCGACGATCCTCGTCGTCACTGTCACCGCCCAGCTGCTGGTCGGGGTTGAGTTCTTTGCGGCCGCGCTTCTCGGCCTCCACATTGAGACGGGCTTGACGGTCACGCAGACGTTCGCGGTATGGGAGATCGGCGTCTCCACCAGCATCCCGGCCTGCTGCATTACGTTTGTTGGCCTTCTGGGCCAGTTGCGAGGTGTAGAAACGGAGCGAGCGCTTCTGCTTGGCCTTCTCTTCTGCCTCATGGGCTGTGAGGGCATCCTCGTCACCGAAGTCAGAGTCCTCATCCTTGAGAGGTGCCTTGATCTTTTGTGTCTTGCGCTTCCGTGAAGGCTCGGTGGCCAGATTCTTGAGATCGGCGAGGTCGGCTTCTGTTTGGCGGAGACGCTCGGCGCGAAGAGCTTCGGCTTCTGCCTGTGCTATCTCGGCCTTGCTGAGCTTCTTCTGTTTCGGCTTCTTGATCTCTTGGGTCTTTGGTTGCTTCTCGGTCTTGGTTTTCTCGGTCTTAGTCTCCTTGATAGGCTCCTCAACGGGTTCCTCAAGCTCCTCGAGATCCTTGACAGTGTTCCAAAGCTTCCGGAATTTGACAAGCGATCCCATGACAGGGTGTTGTCGGAGTTCGGCAGGGGTCATCGGAACATGTTCGCTAGTCGCGTCGGGAGATGGGGAGGAAAGGAGCATGAAGTACATGCTGATCGTGCCAAGGTATGCAGACAACGCACGGAATTTCACCACAGGCACTGGGGATGGCTGTGGCTCTTCTGAGTCGTCGTCTGTTGAGGAAGCCTTCGAGGCTGCTTGTTGAAGATCCTTGAAGGAGCTTTGAAGGTCCACGAAGTCCTTCGCTAGGGGTTCAAACTCGGGGTATCTCGACTTCAAAATTTTCAGCTTCTCATCGGTGTCCATATCATCAGTGATCTCCAATTGTGGAAGCACTTCAGTCACCACGCCAGCGGCGGCGCCGTCCTCGGTACCCTTGCCGGATTCCACCCATTCAGACTCGTCAAACCCGAAATCGGCCTCATTCATAGCCTGTAACTGCTTCATTTGTAGTCGCTTGGCCTCCTGCTCTTCCTCCAATGCATCAACCTCGGTCTCGATCTGATCTGCGTTATAAAGATCCTTTTTCGATGAGCCCCAGGCAGCAATGCCTTCTTCATCTTCCTCGGATTCTGCGCCACCCTTCTTTGGCTGGCCCATATCATCGTATTCGTCGTCTTCTTCTTCTGAGTCTTCGAGATCGTCATCCTCGTCTATGGATTCGTAGCCAAGGATTTCTTCGTCGGAAGGCTGGATCAATTCCTCTGTGGCAATCAGTAAGACACCGTTCGCACAAGCTCAGGTTATCCTCAAAAACACATACCCTCCTCGGCAACTCTGCGCCGTCTCTTCGCCTCTGGGCCTTCCTCGAGTAGAATCTGGTCGCGGCCGGTTTGGAAGTCATCTTCCGAGTCGTCGAATCGCTCTTCGATATCAAACTTAGAGGGCTCAGGAGCTTTTTTCTCCGCTGGGCGACCAGCTTTTCTCTTTTTGCTGCCCATTTTTGCGTGTAGAATTCAAGCGACAATGAGCCAACTCAAAGTCTGGCCGATAAACTGTGATAAAATTATTTTTTGATCCCTCACCGCCTTGACTGCGCTAGCCTCGGGTGGGGCGTTTGCTCTGTTTGCACCTTTGGAAATCCAAATACGGGTAATCTTACAATCCCACACCTTTTGTAACGTCAAAAACAGACATCGGGAACGATCTCGGGTATTTCCGTATCGTTGCACAATTATTTACTGCCCCGTGTGCCTTCCATTTCGAGGACAACTAACAGACGCAACTGCCAATCAGCCACGATGGATCCTCACGCGTTAATTGCTCGTCTTCATCTGCCTCAACTTCTCTCCTCCTTACAGTCCTCGTATAATAATACGTCCACCCTGATATTGGGCGTTTCCACACTCTTTTGCACTATCGTTGTCTATACTATTGCTAAAATGTTTGGTTACGGGCTACGAAATGAGTTTAATGTCGACGGGCAGGTATGTGCAAGACTACATGATTAACGCGGTACTTCCTGACTGGGTATTACAGACTGTGTTAATAACCGGTGGCTCCGATGGCATGGGCAAAGCTGTCGCACTCGAGCTAGCCGCGAAAGGCGCAAACGTTGTTGTGGTTGCGCGCACTGTCTCCAAGCTGGTGACCGCCGTCGATGAGATGAAGGTCGGATATTCCTTCATAATCAGTTGATCAATATAGCTCACCTATCATCCAGGCCAAGGCAGCGAATATATTTAAGCAGAAATTCCTCTATATCAGCGCTGATCTCTCTGATCCCGTCGAGAGCGAAAGAGTCCTCGCAGAAGTCATAACGTGGAATTCAGGGGCTGCTCCCGACATTGTTTGGTGCTGTGCGGGCTTCTCTCGCCCGGGATTCTTTGTCGATGTGCCCATCCAAGAGCACCGACAGCAAATGGATGCAGTCTATTGGACTGCGGCCAACACAGCTCATGCCACCCTGCGCCACTGGCTGAAGCCCGTTGCCCCGAGTGGACAGATGAGAACACCCCGGAGACATCTCATTTTTACCTGTTCTACCCTTGCATTCGTTCCTATCGCTGGCTATTCGCCATACTCGCCTGCCAAGGCAGCCATTCGTTCTCTATCCGATACTCTGAGCCAGGAAATTGAAATGTACAACGGAGCCTATACCCAGCGGCACCGCAATGACGCCCCAGCTGCGGATGTCAGGATTCACACCATTTTCCCCATGGGCATCCTCTCACCCGGCTTTGACAACGAGCAAAAGACCAAGCCTGAATTGACCAAGAAACTCGAAGAAGCCGACAAGCCCCAGACGCCATTGGAGGTCGCGAAAATCTCTATCAGTGCCCTGGAGCGCGGGGAGTATCTGATCACTACCAATTTTGTTGGTGCCATTATGAAAGGCACTGCCTTTGGGCCTAGCCCGAAGAATAGCATTGTCGGTGACACCATGCTCAGCTGGCTCAGCAACCTAGTATTCCTCCAGGTCATTCCGGACCTTCGCAGCAAGGCGTTCACTTGGGGAAAGCAGAACGGGGTTCCGAACGGTAACAGTGCTCCGGCTTCATAGCGATCGGGTGTATTCTTCTGTCGACTGCTTCTTGTATGATGATACCATGAGCGATGTCTGTATGGCGCCTCCGAACACCTAAACATTCTTCAATTCCTTTCATCCTTTGTTGCATATTCTTATTGTACAGTACAAAATAATGGCTTGTCTGTTCTCGTATTTGTAGCAATTCGAACCTTTCATTGATGCAGTCAAATTCCGGGGCCCGGACTGATGACGTACGATGTAGAAACAACAAGCTTATCGTTTATCCTGCCACCCCATTTTCGACCTCGAAATTTCTTTGTCCCCAATTGCGCTGCCCAAACTGGGGTTTAAAATGTCTTTGTTTCAAATATGAATGGCAACTGATCACAGATCACTATTTTTGGCACAAAGAGAAATTGCTGGGAAAGCAGAAACAAAACCCTCGCTCCTCCATCGAAAGACTCGACGATAGCGATAGCACAAGATACAAGCAAAACCACCCTCGAGTCTTTCAACACCGTTAACAGCAATCGCCGCGCAAACTCGTGTCAAGATGGAGGCCCTCTTCTCAATACCGGTGCTGTCCGTCTTCCTCATTCCGGTCCTGTCATCCTACAGCACCAGCCTGAACCTCCTGTTCTTCTACATGACTTGGTCAACACTGGTACTGTCGCATTCCCGGCTCCGCGTGGAACTGTTCGGGACGATCGCCGTGCGCGTACTCTTCTACGCACTGCCGTCTATTGTCTTCTTCCTCTTTGACATCCTGACCCCGTCGGCTGCGATCCTCATCAAGGCGCAAGGCGCGACCGGCTTGCCAGGTGGGAGGAGGCGACGTCGAATCCACGCGAAGGAATTCAAGATCGCTGGGTGGGCACTGTTCAATCTATTCTTGGGTATCGTTGTGCAGGGAATACTTGAAACGATACTGGTTCGGACGCTCGGCAAGCGCAGTGCGCTCAAGGTATCACTGAAGCTTCCTATGCCATTTGAGATATGTAGGGATCTGAGCCTGGCGATGCTTGGGCGAGAAGTGAGTTATTAGAATTTCCAGACTATGTTTCTAGCTTGTGTCTTCTTTGGTAGTCCCATTTGCTGACATTCTCATTCTGCTTTTGATAGCTCCTCACATATATCATTCACCGCTACGCTCTTCACTCAAGGAGATCTCCTATACTTT